ATACACACACACACGCACGCACGCACACACACACACACACACACACACGCACGCACACACACACACACAGTCTCTCTGCTTTAAGAATATCCATCCATCATCACAGCATCCTCACCCTCCGATTGAAGCTCTGGAATCTGAACCAATCACGACCCCTCCATCAAAGATGGCAGCCAGGATGGTGGTCTGAGGAGGAACAAGGATGGGGAGAAGACTTCACTTGTTTTTGTCCTTGACCACACAACATCACGCACGCACACTCTACGTGCGGTGATGAGACTCACCGAATGCTATGCATTCTGGGATTTGGAGTTCTAGGTAATAAGATGGATCGTATGCAGATATATATAAAATAAAGATTAAAGTATTTTTATATAAATGCGAACAATAAACATTTCAAAGCACACATAATTTATTTGCTGATAACTTCCACTGAATTCTTCCTTTCACTCTGTTTCAGGAAACTTCTCCAGTTGCCAATCGGATCTTTACGCACAGTCTGTCATTCATAATTCATCTTTGCTCGACAGGTAAAAAGTTAGTTATAATGATGGCGAACCTTTTAGTATCTACTCACCCCTGTGCTGACTCCTTTAACTTTCGAGTCCATGTAGTGTTTCTCCATTTTCTTTCTAAAACCGAAAGAAAGAAAGCAGCTCTGCCGCTCAGAACAGCGACCTCAGGCGCACCGAGACGCGCAGAGACGCAGTGGACACGTCCACCATGGCGCTGTCAAATGTCCTCGAAACTCCGGCTGCTGGATTTAATTTTGACAACGCAGCAAGGTATGAACTTGTCTTATGTCTGCTGGTCTTAGAACTGTATTTAAAAATAACTAAACTAAATTAAACTTGCAGATAAACCTAAAGTTAATCTGGAATCAAAAGCGAAAGTAACTTTTTTCTATTTGTTTTCATGTTTTACCGAATGAACGAAGGGATGATCATGGCTGTAACATGATGTATATATTTGGACATATGCCCCCTCCCGCCCACCTATTCACATGCTGCCCCCTCCCTCTATTCCCCACTTCTCCAGAAATGCTGCGTTGGAGGGTCTTTTCGACGGAGGACAAACACCAAAACCACTGAAAACAGGCACCACCATCGCAGGGCTGGTGTTCAAGGTGAGTATTAGGATTATTGTTAAGAACAAACACTTTGACTTTCTTATCAGTGGGATTGCATATGTTTAAAAAAATGTTTTCACAGAGAATTGAAAATATTTGTGTATATAATATTCTGCATAGTGCAGTTGTGCATACAGATTATCCATGACACTGACTTAAAGGCCACTCAGTTACTAACATAATAAACTGTCCAGGATCAAAACATGCAACTGTGATCTACAGAAGTGGTTGCTGAAGCATTGCATATTTTGTTCATAAAACAACCCAATACATGTACTCATCATTTGCACACTTTTTATCATGAAAGCTGAACATGCACTGGGCAGCAGCAGCTCCAGTGGATCAAGTGAGATTGAAGCACACAGGAGAACCCAAATATGAGCTTTATGAGATTAAAACTTTCAGCCTGAAGCTGTTACTGTAACATCACAGTAATTTAATCTGAACAATGAAGAGTTTTGGTGACTTGTGTTTGTTGCTGTAGGATGGAGTGGTGCTCGGAGCCGACACAAGAGCCACCTCCAGTGAAGTTGTAGCTGACAAGATGTGTGCCAAGATTCACTACATTTCTCCTAACATATAGTAAGATCCATATGTTGTAAATAAAAATGATGAAATGAAAATTACATTATAGTTATAATATTCCTCCATGCTGTTCTCAGGTTTTAACTGCTTTATATTTATTTTTTCCTTCGGAGCACATTTTACTATGTTGTACTTACATTTAAGTGATATTCAGCACAAACTGTCTTTCAATGACATTTTATAAGACCTTAAGGCTTGTCACATAAAAACAGTTTGAGGATTATATTTGGATTTAAAATAAAAATCAGCAGAGAGATGCACGGTACGGTGCTCAAGACAGAATGTGATCTCTAAAGTAGGCCTATAAATGATTTTTTCTTCTTCACCTGTTTTCTCATAATTCTTGTTTCATCTCTGTGTGTGTTTTTAGTTGTTGTGGAGCAGGAACAGCAGCAGACACAAAGAAAACCACAGATCTGCTTTCATCCAACCTCACCATTTTCTCGATGAACAGTGGGAGGAATCCCCGTCTCGTCATGGCTGTGAACATACTGCAGGACATGCTGTACAGGTCAGTGTTTTATCCACACAAGAGCAGATGACGAACAGAATGAAGGAGGTAAATGTGAACTTCTTTATTTAAATATGCAGATTTACTCAGACATGTTTGGTCTGATGTCCTCAGGTATCACGGTCAGATCGGTGCCAGTCTGATCCTGGGAGGAGTGGACTGTACTGGGAACCACCTGTACACAGTGGGGCCATATGGGAGTGTAAATAAAATGTCTTACCTTGCAATGGGTATGCAAATAACTGTTAATAAATCTTTTTTGTTGCTCAGTCTCTTTGCTGGTGGTGTTGCTGCAATGCTCTTTAAATAATTTTTGGGTTGGGTTAATTAAAATGTGCTTTATATGAAAATGTTAGCTATAAGTGACAGCATTAACTGTAATGTGCTGCAGGTTTATTCACTGTTGGTAAATTCTCCCTCAGATTGCACAGTGATTCAGATGACTGATTTGTGTTCGTGCAGGTTCTGGTGATCTGGCTGCTCTTGGGATTTTAGAGGATGGCTTCAAACATAATTTAGAGGTATACATGATTATTGTTTATGGCATGAGTTTATTCTAAACTACATCACAACTTAAGTTTACTCAGTCTTTTAACTTCAAACAGAAAGATGTGATAAACATTTAGTTTATTAATTGTTTCTGTCTGCCTTTGACCTCCTTCTGTTTTTCCTCTCCACTCTCAGCTGGACGAAGCTAAAGAGTTGGTGCGAGCCGCGATCCATGCGGGCATCATGAGTGACCTCGGCTCAGGACACAACATCGACATCTGCGTCATCACCAAACAAGGAGTGGACTACATCAGACCCTACCGGGAGTCAGAATACAAAGATGACAGGTAGTCCAGTGTAAATCTGTTCTGAACAAACTAAAAATTATATTTTTAGTGACTTTTTATGTTGAACCATATTTCACACTTTTTATCAAGTAAACATTTGATTCCTTTAATTCAAAAATAAGTTGTGTTTTCATCAATAACTGTTCATCATTTGAAATGTTGGATAGTTTTTCCTTTCATATAACTAAGAAAAAGTTTTGTTACACATGCTGTATTAGCAGCAGCATCATGAGGCACTAACTTCTGCACCTTTTGTTCTTTATTTGTTCCAGAAAAATGAAATATAAGTATCGTCCAGGAACTACAGCCGTTCTGACAGAGAAAGTTGTTCCCTTGAAGCTGGAGGTTGTTCAGGAAACTGTGCAGAAGATGGAAACAGCCTGATCTATAATGAACAGTCACAGAACATAAAAACACTTGTCAGAGTTTTTTTTATTTTATCGTTATTTAATATTAATCTCGGATTTTTTATAACATTTTACTGGAATGTAGAAAAATTAAAACCCTGTAATACTGTAAGGTTTTAATATGGAAAGATGGCTACAAACACTGAATAAAATTGTTTTTATTGACTCCTACAACATGTTTTGTCTTATTTCTGTTCATACTTTTACTTAATTCTATTCATATGTTAATTTCAAGCTGCACCTACAGCTTCTTCTTATAATGAAGTTAAAACAAACAGAACAATGTGATGCATATTATTTTAATTAATTTCAAACTACAGCATAATGTAGCTGCTTCATAATAAACTTTATGTTCAGGTCCTCAAACCTGATTTCTGCATTTCAGCTTAGAGACTGATGACGACAAATAAAACTCGTTTTCTATTGGTCCAAAAGCTCTGTCGCGTTTGTAGTTGAAGAATTTTAAATTTAAGCTTAAGTATGTATAATTGTAACGTTTTTATTTTAAAAATGCAGAATTGTGAATATATTAGTTATATTTCTGCATACCTTTGTAATTTCTACACATTTTACGCATTTTCAGAGAAAAATAAAACAATAAAATCATGAACAAACCCTTTCACTTTCGGATTCTTTCTCACGTATGAGGAAATTATTCTCAACCTGTCGTTCTTTCAGAAACATTATCACCTGAATAATATACAGTATTGTTAATTTATTTTTAATATAAGGCAAAATGGCACTTTCAGAAGTTATTGGCTTCAACCCTTTTTCTGAAACTATGTTTGGAGCCAGACAGACGCAACTTTTTGACCGACCGAACCACTACAGTTTTGGAACCAAAATCCAAGAGTTTGCTGTTCCTGTTGGTGAAGAAGTGAGTGTAATTTCAGCATGATTTAATTAAAAGAACTGATATTGTATTAAACTGAACCTGATCTACTGACTGGATACTGCTGTGTGAAGCACTGACGCGTTGGACGCGTCGTGTTTCAGTTTTACGCGTCTCTTGTGTTTACGCTCTTTAAGAAATCATAAAACTGTAAAAATCAAAAGCTGTTGTCAAAGATTGACCCATTAATTACTAAATACCACGCTGTTATTGCCCCCATGCAGCACATTCAGTGTGATAGTTTTGTTTGGTTTCATCGCAGCCTTCAGGGTTTCTGAAGTCCTGTAACCGTGATGGAGATGTGCGCATTGACCTGAACCATGGAACCACCACCCTGGCCTTCAAGTTCAAACATGGAGTCATCGTGGCTGTGGACTCCAGAGCTTCAGCTGGACGATACTTGGGTAAATGGGTCTGGGTTAGGGCTGTCCACAAACCATGTAAAACGTGAGTCCTCAAAGTTAGAAGATAAAATATAGAACAAAACTTTAAACGCAACACACAGAGTAAAACCTTTGATTTACAGTGCCTTTAAAAATATTCCCCTCCTTGGATGTTTTATGCTTTATTTGTTGTCATAAATCAATCATAGTTTAAACTGGACTTATTTACAAAAACAACAACCTTTTCATTATCAAAGTAAAATAAAATGTCTACAGAGTAACACCAATATAAAAAAGCAATGTAAAATAAGTGATTGCGTGAATATACACCTTGTTAAGTGACTGTACTACTTCAACTCCAAGAAAAGGTTATTGAAAAGAACAAGTCAGGGGATGGATACAAAATACTTTCCAAGGTTCTAAACATCCACAGGAGTTCTGTTAAATCTGTCATCAAGGAGTAGGAATATGAAACGTGTAAATCTACCAAGAGCTGGCTGTCCTCATAAAATGAGTGACTGTGTAGGGAGGCCACCAAGACTCCTGAGCATGCTGAAGGAGGTGCATGCTGAAGGAGGTGCATGCTGAAGGAGGTGCACACTTCAGCAGGCGAGATGGAAGACACTGTGCATACAGCAACTGTTGCCTGAGTTCTTCACCAGACTAAGCTTAAAGAGAGAACAGCAAGACACTTATAAAAACTCATTAAGTCTTGAGCTAGGTTGTTTATAACTTTGTTTGAACTCTTTCAAGTGAAAGATCACAAAGTGTCATGAACGGCAGTCAAGTCAACTTATTTAAATGTTTTTGTTATTAAAAACACTTTTAAACATAAACTGAGATTTTGTCAAAAAGGAAACTAAAGGATCACTTTGGACATGAAGGAATAAAAGGGATGGTGCTTGCACGCTCTTAATGCGCCAGGTCTGGAAAACTAAATAAAAAATTTGAAGAAAAGGTGGAAATACACTGTATTAAAGGTAAATTTTGCAGTATTTTTTCTTTTTTAATGTTGAGCAGCTATTAAAAAAAACTGGAAGCTCAGTTCACCTCTAAAGAAACAGTTCTGTGCATTTTTAATCTTGTCACGAGTTTAGGTGAACATCCAGACTTGCAGGACTCTGACGTTTAACTAAATAATATATGAGCTGCTTTTGTTGACTACACTGTGCAATACTGACACGTTTCAATGTGCAGTTTAGGTCAAAATTTTTATTTTATTTTTTCTAATTGTTTCTTGGCTCTGCAGCCTCCAACGATGTCAACAAAGTGATAGAGATCAACCCGTACCTGCTGGGCACCATGTCGGGCAGCGCTGCAGACTGCCAGTACTGGGAGAGACTCCTGGCTAAAGAATGCAGGTTAGTAAGCAACGTGTAACAAAACAATCAAAACCACTGCAGATTTAAGTTTCAATCTGTGCAGATGTGCGACTCATATGATTCTCCAGACACACATACACAAGAGATCATGTCCTCACTTCACTGTTTTCTTATTTGTGATGAAATATGAATAAAAGTACATCAGGGTCATTTGTCAAGGTCTGTAGTTCAAGACACTTGAAAGCACTTCTTATTTAACTATGGCTGGTAACATAATCCTAAATACAATCATTTTGGTGTATTATATTGGTACGCTACAAGGCGGACTAATTTCTAACTCTCTAATTAAACTAATTAAACTAATCTCTAATTAATTCATTAACTCTCTTGTAAATGAGCCCCCGAGGCTCAATGGGATTAACCCGTCTAAATAAAGGTTGAATGAATTTGTATTTTTCCCTAAATGATCGTATTCTGACTTCCTCCAGGCTGTACAGGCTGAGAAACAACCAGCGGATCTCTGTAGCTGCTGCCTCCAAGCTGTTGTGTAACATGATGTTGGGTTACAGAGGAATGGGCCTTTCTGTGGGGAGCATGATCTGTGGATGGGACCAGCAGGTGAGCTGTGGGCACGGTTTCACACGCATCCGAGCTTTAAACATTACTGGGAGACTGTATAAGTTACAACAAACCATAGTTTAATTTTGTGGCGAAAAACAATCCTTAGGTTCAAACGTGTTGCTGTAGTTTAAAGGTCGACCTGTGCACTTTTGTCACAGGTTATATTTTTATTTTTTGTCATTTTTTTAATGCTTTGCTATTATTATTTAGGTTTAGTTGGTCTATTTTTGTTATTATTTCCACACCCTAATAGTAAAAAAAATAATTAGACAGCACAAAGTAAGCACTAGGGAAGTCTGCAGAAGTGTTTTGAATACATTAACGCCCTCTGAACATGCAGTACTGTGCAAAAGTCTTGGGCCAATCCCCATTTCTTTATATTTTGCTTTCAATAAGTGACAGTGCTTGTAAGATGCTGGTAGCAACGAGACTAAAGATCATATCTGATGAAATAGTTTATTTGCTAAGATGTTTGTGCGTCAACCCAGTTTTTCAAAGGCTGAATATCGTATTTTTCAGACTATAAGGTGCATTAAGCGAAACAAAACAGTCACATAAGTCAAACTTTATTCAACTTATTCACAATAATTCTCAACATTGTTCACTTGTAACACATAAAATTGGTTCGAGGTCAGTAAGCACAACCAGAATTAATACATAAGGCGCACCGGATTATATGGCTCACTGCTGATCTTTGAGAAAATTAAAGGATTTTAAATGTGTCTTATAGTCCAAAAAATACGGTAAGTCACAGTTGAGTGTTAGATGGCTCAAACAACACAACATAAAAAATAACTGTAAAGTACAAGGACTGGACCAGGGTGAGTGAAAAAGCTTGAAATTAAATTCTAAAGACATTTAAAAAGTCTTAAATTTAAGAGAAAAAGAGCTAAAATTAAATACTGTATTTTAGTAAACATTCATTACAGTACTTACAAATACAAATGTTTCAAATTAGAGTCAGGTATATAATACTGAAGATAAGAAGGTACATTATATTTTATTCTGCAGATATGGACCAAAACATTGAATAAAAAATGCTCTAGATAAAGTCAATGTTATGTTATATTTTAGTTATACGCAGTAAGAAGGCTGTGTTTAAAGATAAATCTTAAAGTTTGGTAGTAAATATAACAAAGTTGTGTCAGCTCAGATGACGGTTGTGTTTTCTGCAGGGTCCTGGTCTGTACTATGTGGATGATAACGGAACCCGTTTGTCGGGTCGGATGTTCTCTACCGGCTGTGGGAACAGCTACGCCTACGGTGTGGTGGACAGCTGTTACAGGGAGGACATGACGGTGGAGGAGGCGTACGAACTCGGCCGTCGGGGCATCACTCACGCTACACACCGGGACGCGTACTCCGGAGGAGCGGTCAACAGTGAGTACAGCCGCAGAGAATATGTAAAGTTTGGTTCTTTTGTATAGTTACTAAACATTTTATTTACTGTTTCATTGTTCTCAAGGTATTATAACGCAGTGCTATCAGTAATTTAGTCCAAACTGGTTTCTCTTTTGTTCCATTATTATTGAATTTTAAAACAATTTATTTTTTTCCTCCCACAAAAAGAAGTTTTTAACAAAAGATTTACATATTTAAAATAATGAACAATGAAAGTTGTAGTTGTAGCACATTATGATTTTCAAGCGCTTGAAAAAAGTATTTTTATTTGTATTTTTATGTTTACATGTATTTATTTGTATTTTTATGTTTACATGTATTTATTTG